ATGGAAACACATTCACAATAGTGCAGAGCGGGTAAAATCACCATAATTGACCATACACTGTGGAAACACATTCACATCAGTGCAGGTCGGGTAAAATAACCATATGATGTCATACACTGTGGAAACACATTCACATCAGTGCAGACTTGGGTAAAATCACCTGGGTACTTTCTAGTGGTTTTAAAATAACTTTAAATATACTGAAATATAACATATGGATACAACATGCTAGAGAAATGATCAAATGAACTTAATTTAACTTTAAAAGAATTGAATATAAAATCCATTTGATTCTGAAAAATCATGCTTTTAAACCAGTTATATAAAATAATTAACTTTCTAATACGATATAAATTCAGTAACTATTTATTTCTGAAAAATAAGTTTTTCCACTCACTCAAAATAAGCTAGTCTAAGAAGATCGGTAGGCTTTTCCAATCTCTGTGTCACCACCTGAAAAACCATACAAGATAACTAATTCAACCACTATCAAGTTAAGAAACCTCTAAAATGCAATGTTATAATACTACAACTAAATTTCTCGATACTTGACTAGATGTCCCAAATTATTCCTTTAATCAAATGGGACCAATTTCATTTTCTAGTCCATTTACTAATACCCAATAAATCAACATAACCTTCATTCTAAGATTAACTACAAATATCTCCTTCAATCAAGTAACAACTAATAATTAACATCCAACCAATTAAACATACATATTTTTCCATAAAATCATGCTTTCTTGTAAGTATTACATCACCACTACAATTCCCACTAACAATACTTATTCAAGCATCCAATAGAAAATCTAGGGTTTGCCCAAAAATAGAGTTTCTTACCTTAAATGTAAATGGAAGCTAACCACCAAGGAAACTTGAACTAAAAATCATGATTTGTCCCCTAAAAATTGAAATTTTCGAACCCAATTAAAACCCTAGAAATTAACATAATATATCTCTACTTCTAAGAAAATAGGTAAAATAAAAATCGAAATCAAGTTTGATAACCACCTTACCTTCTTCTCCTTCCTTCCTCTTTTTCTTCCTCTTTTTTCCCTTCCTTTTCCTTCTTTTTTTCCCTTTTTCTTCCCTATTTTTCGGTCTCTGCTCTCCTCTCTGCGTGCTGGGAGGATGAAAGTGGGAATTGGGTGATAAAAATGGTTAAGTTATGTGATTATTGCAAAAGAAGTCCCCCACTTCCTAAGATAATGTAAGTAAGTCCTCATCTTTTAATTTAAACCACCTTAAACCTTTATTATCTTGAATATAAAATAAGTCCCAAGAAAAATAAATTATTCCAATTAAGTCCATATTGACCTTGACCGTGACAATTCAACCATTGACTTTTGACTAAAAATATGAGATGTAACATACGAGCTCATGGCATACTTACCTTTCAGCTTATCAAATTCGTTTGAGTTTTTAAACTCTTCAATAGCTTTGCCTCTGGCCTTTCCGACATTGGCGTCAATAAACTCAATCTTTAGCTTCATTTCCTCGAGCTCGTCCTTCACAATTCCGAGCTCATCCCAAGATTTCTTCATCACACCTTTGGCTTTATCGCGCTCCTTCTTTAAGAAGGCAAGCTCATCTTCGAGATCAGTAATTTTATTGTCCTTGAGCTCTACAAATTCATAGAGCCCCACCATTTATGGGATTCATTCATCACTTTCAAAGAAAGACCCTGAGCTATGCTCATCTTCTGCAAAAAAAAAAAAAATAATAAAATAAAATTCTGAACTACACGTAGAGCTAAAAAATGGAAAAAAGTAAATTAAACAAAGAGATTGAGCTTACATTCTGCATCAAGGTATCCAAGGACTCGATGTTTCACCAGGCACACTTGGTGATGGACCAGAGGTAGTGACCATAGGCTTCTTCTTTCATTTCTTTTGCCCGGGAGCTCTCAACTTGGGAGCATTAGGCCTAGAGTTAATAGCCTAATGAAGAGTAGAAGGATTAAACAACATTTCTACAAAAAATAATACAAAGCTTTAGGGCGAGAAAGAGATCGAGACATGTATATAATATCGACCATAAAAATAAAAAGAAACCCTAACCTCGACTCCTGCGAGGTCTAGGATATCATCCTCGAGGATGTCGTTAAGGTCATACACCAAGGGCTTGAGTTCTTTGAGCATCTTCCTATCCTTTTCTAAAGCCTTAAAGCATGCCTGACCCTCACAAAATTTCGTTGTGTCCAAGATCCATCACCTAGGACTAAAGGAAAGGTCAGGCTCTCGAGGAATGACATAAAACCACTTATCTTTCCACCCTTTTAATGAGTTGGGCATCTTGGGGTCCGTAAGCAAAATAAGTGAAGTGTGGGAGTTGATTAAGCTCAAAGACCATCCTACAAATGTCGAGGTAAGGAGTAATACCTAAATATCTACAAGCTATAAAAAAGTAATGGGCACATATTATGCTCGACCAATAACATACAAAGAATGGGTACAAGCGCTACCTAAATCCCTCCTTTAATGAATCCTTGTAACATGACAAACTTCCCTTTCTAAGCTCTAACCATCCTAACCTTAGGCCCAGGTGTTCGGCAATAGCAATTGGACATCAACCGGAACTCCCAAGTTGTCGATAATGCTAAGTACTCCTTAAACTTACAGGAGTGGTCCATATAGGTCGATGGGGATGGTCCACCCTATGCTCAGGCCGAGCTTCTAGAGAAATGGCCATGGGAATAATCGAAGTTCCTAAGTCCTTTGGTGAAGTACCCCGATCCCGAGGATTCATTTTCACTATCACTACTCGACATCGTTTTCTAAATTAAAATTTCTAAGGAAATAATTTTAGGATTCTCGAGCACTTACTTTAACCTAATGTACTAAAACCTACAAATTATCCCGTTCTCGAGGAGGCAGAGAAATTTTACTAAAACTAAAAAGTGAAAAGGCAAAGAAAGTAAATGGTGAAATGGGGTATTTATATGCCACTAAGGAAGGCCAGCTATCTTTCAATCTGGGCCCTTGGTCAGGGTCCACCCGTCTTCAATCCAGCCAGGGTGATCTGGGCCATTGATCATGCTTTCACAGGTCAGACATCCAACCGATGATATCATTGACTCATTACCACTCCTCCCTTGTATCAAGCTCGGAGTATAGAATGCTAGCATCAGCAAGAGCACTCGATCCTGAACAATACTTTTTTCAAACCTGAGCACTCATCGCTTTAAGCACTGATCTAGACCTATTTGTGCACCTCATCCTAGAGACTCACGTAATCACACCCGAAGTAAACTAGAGCCTCAGACACGGATGTACTAGGACCATTGATATCTAATTTTTTGACATACATGACGTTTATTTTCTTGAACAAGTGAATGCTCGACCGTGTTTATCACCCATCAATTGTTCTTGAAGCCACTAACCTCGAGCTAGTCCTCGTGATATCATACTCCACCTAGCAGTATAGCTTCATCAGAGTCTATACTTGTCTAATTCCAAGCTTTACACTTAACCTAGTCGGACTCTACTTCCACATCATCACGTTTATCCAACTAAGATAATGTCAAAGTCCCAATAGGATTCCATTATCCAATCCTTATAGGACTCTAACAGTATCTATAACTTTTATTTAGATAAGACATCAAGTAACTTAGTCAACTAGGAGGAGACCTCGCACCTCAATTCATTAGCGTTTTGGATAAAATTTTCTTTTCACTAATTTAAGCATCGAAAGGCGATGATGACACATTTCGACGCCTTTGGTTTAGGTATTTGAGATTTTGTTCATGTTCATCCTCCATTGTCAAACTTGAAAATCAACAAGTGCAGATTTTTTGTAGCAATAAGTAATATATGGTAACACAACATTTTTCTCATTCGAAATAGTGACTTTTTAATAAAAAGTAGTAACATAAATCTAATATATTGTAACACGTTACTTGTGCAAAACAATTAAAAATATTGAAATATTAATTTTAGATGAAAAGGATGAAATATTAATTTTTAATGAAAATTAGGATTTTTTAAAAAAATTGTAAAAGAGGACATTTTCCAACTTTTTTCAAGTTAAAAAAAAAAAAAAAATTACAGGTGTGGTGTGCTCCCTTGAAAATAGGCCGGCCCAATATAAATTGTTGCCGACTCTAACAACTCGTTTGGCGCCCTTTCTTTAATTTTTAATGTTTGGAATAATATTTTTTGATAAATGTGTGGTTGAAAAAGAAGGAAAATTGTTCAATTTACGTGTAATATTATTTTATGACAAAATTGTATACTTGAAAATAAGATAGAGAAGAAAAAATGAGAAAGGGGGCAAAACGGGGGCTAAATTTTGACAGTGTAAAGTCTAGGACCATTTATGAACAAGTACCAAATATGTAGCAGTTTGACAATCATAGTTTTGAGAAGAACCGTTCTATAGGTACAGAAAGATTTGCCAGACAATTGTCAGATTTTTGAAATCAAAGGTCAGGATTTATACAAAAAGGCGGGAAAAAAAAAATCAAAGGCTAGGAATATTTTCTGGTAAAATTCTGATAAAACCTTTTGAGAAATAGAATCATGAATAATAGTTGTAAAGAGAATGTTTGATTAAAAAATAAGAAAATATTTATATTTTACGTGAAAAAGTGAATGTACAGAGAAAAAAAAAGTGCGAAAGGCATGACCCGTACGGAGCTAGCTGCTCTAGTCGGCTGTTATTTCTGGGCGCAACTGCACGAACAATCCTATTCCAGCGCATTTATCATTTTCTAATCGTACTTTATGCTAAGGATCGATTTTCCGGTAAAATTAATTTTATTCACTGCACAAAACAATCTTCTACTTTTAATTTAATTATTCTACTGAATGTATTTGCAGTCCTAAATTCATGTTTTTAGGGTGTTTTTTTGTTGGTCGAGGGAAGTTATTCCGAATCAAAATTTGAAAAACATGGGGGATCCATCATCACCGGGTCGGAGCTCCACAACGATGATGGACCTGAACATGGATACTCTGGTGCAGTGCGCTAGTTACCTGAGCCTCCGGGACCTCTCAAACATGGCGATGTCGTGTAAATATCTTCAAAGGGCTGCCTATTCTGATTCCATCTGGCAATCCCTTTTCAGGTTTTTTTTTATTTCTTTACCTTTTGTTCTGCAATTTTTTGTTTTTCTAATAATTTCTTCTGATATTTGTACTAATTTGTGTTTCGCTGTAATTTTGTAGTGGAATTTAATAATTTGCTATGATTCATTGAAATTGTTTTCAATATCTAAATGTTTGGTTAGGCTTTAAATTTTTTTTTAACTCAATAAATAGATTTTTTGGAAAGTGAAATGATCTCTTTATTCTCGAAGTAATGAAGTTATTTTCAACTTTCACCAATTACAAAGATTTTTTCAAAAAACAAACTTTATGACTTGTAAGTAAATTTATGGGTATAAGTAAAAAAATTTAAGCTTTGCCAAGCTTAAGAGTTCACTTATAAGTAAATAAGTAACTTGTAAAATAAATCATTTCTTCATTGGTTATATTTAGAAGTAAGTTGCTCTATTTTAGAGTAACATAAGAGTAACTTTTGAAATAATTTACTTTTGGAAACAAGAAGTTACTTAAAAAGTAAGTTTTACTTTTATTAAGCTTAGCCAAACATGCTATTATTTTGTTTTGTGAACTGGCAATGACCCCAATTTTGAAGAATGTGACTTGTTTGCAGTCTCCAACAACAGACCTTATGGCTACATGCATGTCATAATGCTGGAATTCGTAGAATTCCGTGACAATTTGATATTTGTTTTCTTGTTTGCTTCTTGGGTGAAGATAATTTGTGTTGATTACTTTTTTCTTTTTTCTTATATACCTTCATTACTCACGTATTATTATGAATGTGGAAACTTGCAGACATCGTTGGCCACAGCCTATACCTTTATGCTCTTCTCAAGTGTCAAATGTCAGGGACACATACCTGACCAGGCATGCTACTGTACAACAGTTTAAGTACTTAGATCCCCGATCTTCCGACTTCTCTACATTTGGAAAACCTTCTGAACATATTTTGTTGGATAAAAACAATGTCATCTTTTCACAGGTATTAGGTTTCTATTTTGTCATATTCCTTTTCTTACATAGATGTATCTCATGCAATCATTTGCTTCTTAAGAGTACCCTACTACCCCCAATTATGAGTGAAACTAAAATGACTGTGTGTTTGAGACCCATTTTTTTAAAAAAATGAGTTTTGTAATGGTTTTTTTTTTATTTTACTTTTTTTGTTTGTGTGGTTAAAAAGTTGGAAAAAGTTTTAGGTTTACGTGTAAAATTATTTTATTGGAAGAATTTGTGGTTGAAAANTTTTAGGTTTACGTGTAATATTATTTTATTTGAAGAATTTGTGGTTGAAAATGATTTTGGGAATATATGAATTTTTAGATACTGGGGTCAAATAGGGGCTAAATTTCTGCTTACAAACAGATGCATGTAGGTATAATAACTTAAAAAAAGACCTAGTGAAGTTGCTTAGCCGGTTAGTTTAAATTGAATTAACATCCAGACAAGACCAAAAAAATAAATAAAAACATCAGTAGATGGGGAATAAGGAGTTCTCATCTTATATTTCTGCGACCAATATGGTATTCTATTCTTGCTATTGTTTGCAAGTCAAATATGAGCTACTACTTTGTGTGGAGTCTCGGGGTAGCAGGACAGGAAAGAAAATGATGGATACAATGACATAAGCAGAAACGACAGGGAAGTGAACAGATATTGATAATCCGGTTAACATGTTGGCTGATAAAACTGAGAAGAAAACGAGAGGAAATAATTTTTCTTTTATATCATTGACTTAGTTATAGAGCATGACATGAACAGTAGGAGTTAATATCATCAAAATTCGACTCATTATCTTCCTTTCAATTCCATCCCTTATGAAGCCTGCTTTTCCTCTTTTCTCTGTTTTTCCTCTGATATTGTTCCCAACATGGCGTTGGACTGGCAGTCAATAGTCATTTGTTTTAAAAATATACGCAATCAAGTATTCCCCGTTTCATTTTATCAAAATTTACTTCCTTCCATTTGATCATTTCTGCAGGGTTCATTGATACGCATATTGGACACTGATAGCCTTTTTACTGGAAGCAATTCTCTTGTGACACATGATAACCACAATGCTAGGATTACTTGTATGAGGTTTGTATATTCTCTAAGTCTCTCGTTTTATACATCATCTGAGGTATGCTGGTGATTTGGTTTACGCCATTCAAAGTTTGCTATAAATATGACCAGGTTATTTTGAATGACTCAATTTTTGTTATTTAGCTATAGGTTCAAAATTCATTTATTGTTAAAATGGAAAATAACTATATATATATACACACTAAAATGGCCCGGGGGGGAGGAATAGAGATAGGAAATCTTTGAGAAGAAAACAATTATAATTTAATTTAAATTATTTTGAAATTACAATATTGAAATACTAAAATTTGATACAGAAATAAAATTGCAAAGAAAGCTTTAAAAATTACAAGGAAATTCTAAAATTTTCTTGAAGATGAATATCTCCCGCTAATTCACACTTGTTTTGAACCATGGATATAATCATCCTTAAATAGCTGAATTATCCGGATTTGTAAAACGTCTTTTGATGCTTTGCAATCAGTTTTTAAAATGAATTCTTTATTAATTAAATCATCTTGAAATACATAAAACAATTGATAAAATTTACTTTTTGATAGTAGAATAATATCTTTGAGTACTGGTCCAGACTCCACTAAAAAATTTGACTAGCAGTTCTTGATTTGACATTTTTGGAATTTGCTTTAATACTCCACCATACCCTATATCAGAGGCATCTGTTTCAACAATAATTGAGGCTTGTGGTTCAAGTATTGAAAGACAAAGTATACATTTAACAGCTGCTTTAGCCTTTTGAACAGCTAAAGTATGCTCGTGACCCCAGGAATCAGGACTCTTTTGTAATCTTTTGAAAAGAGAGGCACATATCAGTCTTTTATCTTTAATAAAGTCTGACGTGTAATTAACACAACCAAGAAATCTTTATAGACTAGATTTTTCAAGGATTTGGTCGGAAAATTTGTCAGCAAATTCAAGACTTCTTTGAATAGGAATTATGGTTCCTAAACGAATTGTTAACATAGAAAGAAACATATTATATCCCTTCCATACAATTCTGATTTCCAAGAATCAATTATTCCAACCAAATCGAGACCAATTCAAATGAACAAAGATTTAGTTGATTATTGTATCAAGGAAATTAATGATCTATTGGACAAAGGTCTTATTCGGCCAAGTAAATCTCCTTGGAATTGCTCAGGTTTCTATGTTAACAATTATGCTGAAATCGAGCGTGGAGCCCCACAATTGGTGATCAATTATAAACCTCTCAATTCTGCTCTTCAATGGATTCGATATCCTTTACCTCAAAAGAAAGATCTTCTGAATCGATTATTCAAAGCTTGTATCTTCTCCAAATTTGACATGAAATCTGGTTTTTGGAAAATCCAAATCAAAGAAGAAGATAGATACAAAACGGCATTTAATGTTCCTTTCGAACAATACGAGTGGAATGTTATGCCTTTTGGCCTAAAAATACTCTTTCTGAATTTCAAAAAATTATGAATGATATTTTCAACCCATTTTCAAACTTTATCATTGTTCATATTGATGATGTTTTAATATTCATGTTGTCAAGAAAAATGGTTTAGCAGTTTCTACTAAGAAGGTCGTCCTATGTCAAACAAGCATTAAGTTTTTAGGACATAACATTCGTCTAGGAACCATCATTCCTATTCAAAGAAGTCTTGAGTTTGCTGGCAAATTTCTTGACTAAATCCTTGAGAAATCTAGTCTACAAAGATTTCTTGGTTATGTCAATTACGTGTCAGACTTTATTAAATATATAAGACTGATATGTGCCCCTCTTTCAAAAGATTACAAAAGAGTCCTGATTCGGGAGTCACGAGCATACTTTAGCTTTTCAAAAGGTTAAAGCAGTTGTTAAAAGTATACCTCATCTTTCAATACTTGACCCACAAATCTCAATTATTGTTGAAACAGATGCCTCTGATATAGGTTATGGTGGAGTATTAAAGCAAATTCTAAAAATGTCAAATCAAGAGCAGCTAGTCATTTTTTAGTGGAGTTTGGACCGGTCCTCAAAGAAATTATTCTATTATCAAAAAGGAAATTTTATTAATTGTTTTATGTATTTCAAAATTTCAAGATGATTTAATTAATAATGAATTCATTTTAAAAACTAATTGCAAAGTATCAAAAGACGTTAAAAACATTGTTTCAAAACAAATTTTTGCAAGATGGCAAGCTATTCTGTCTTGTTTTGATTTCAAAATTCTATATATACAAGGGAAATCAAACAATCTTGCATATTTCTTGACGAGAGTTTTTGCAAAACAAGAGTGTTGAGAGATACACTTGAGATATGTATTTTTCTTCTTCCTCTAAGAAGAAGAATAAACAGAAATCTTCAATTCCCCTACTTACAATTGATGATTATATTTCAAAATCTCATTCTTCATCCACAAATTCTCAAAAAACAACCTTAGCCTCTAAAGTTCAAACTTCTACTCAAAAAGAACCTTCAAATTTCAAAAAGGCAGTCCAAACAGGATCTGGTAAATTGTCAGACATTAAACCCTCACAAATCACTTTTCATTACTTCACAAAACCATTGTACCTTCCTATTTGTGAAATGGAAATTTCATGGATCCATAGATATTCATCCCTTTATGAATGTCTTCAGAACGTTTTACCACAATTTTTCATTTCCTACCCAAAAATATTAAAAAAAAATAGGAGATTACTATGAAACTATTCTAGTCAAGATTGGATCAGCTATCATTACCCATACTCCAGATCGTCAAAAACAAAATTACATTGATTTTTCAAAAATTTCTATTCAAAGGGTCTGGTCTCATGAAGACTGGGGGACCAACCCATGGAATGAGAAAAGAATGAATCTATCAAAGGATGTTTCATTTGAATCTGGTTTCAATTATTTTGACTCCATTGATGCGTGGTCTAAGGCAGTAAACTCATGGATTCAAGGACAAAAGAATATCGGAATTCCCTCTAAAAAGGAGCAAGAGAAAACTGTCGATTTCCTTATAGAAAAATCAAAATTATTGGCTATGTTAAGCCAATGCAAAACTCCGGAAGAATTATCTGTAATTTCGAGAAAAAATGCAGATTTGGCAGAGGCTACATCAAAGAAATCAAAGTTAGAAACCTCAAATGAAGAATCAGATCATGCCTATGATAATGAAGACAATTGTTATGGGTTTGATATTGATGAGTGAACTTCATCTCAAAAATCAAAGGACCTGCTTTTTAGGATGTGTTTGCCAGCTTTGCCGACATACAAAAGACAAAATACTTTATTAAATCAACTTTAATAAAGCTTCAAAAAAGCCGGGAAAGTTGGAAAAAGCAAAAGACTTTAAGAAAAGGCAGATAAGTCTTCTCAATTTTCAATCAGTACACTATTCAAGATTCTCTAATCCATTATCCACTTCAAAGGAAGTTTCAAGTCCGGGTATTTTAGCTATTTAAGGATGATTATATCCATGGTTCAAAACAAGTGTGAAGTAGCGGGAGATATTCACCTTCAAGAAAGTTTTAGAATTTCCTTGTAATTTTTAAATCTTTCTTTGCAATTTTAGTATTTCAATATTGTAATTTCAATTGTTTTCTTCTCAAAGATTTCCTATCTCTATTCCTCCTATATATATATATGTGTATATATATATATATATTTTTTTTTTTTTTATTTTTTTTTTTATTTTTTGACAAGAAACCGTCATTTCCTTATTGACACACACTTTATGTCAGCTTCCATTTTTCTTTATATCCCTTTCAACTATTGTGCAGCATATTCTATCTGCTCTACTACAAGCAATTAAAGCTATGGTTCAGGAGATTCTAGACTAATTCTCTGTATCATATACTTTCACTTTGCTTGTTATTTACATGAGACATTTTTCTGATGATGTTATCTGCAGATTATTTCCCCTTGGTGAAACTTCGATGTATCAAAGTGAGTTAGGAAAAAATGAAAATGTTCTGATAACATCAAGTTGTGACCATTTTATTCGCCTGTGGTGGAAGGTAAGTATATTTTGAAGATAAATATAGTAGTAATTATGCGGGTCTTTAATTTCCTGTTTATCTGCTTCTCTGGGTCTACACTTCTTGATCATCTCCTCTCCAAATTAAGCATTCTTGCAAGTTTTATGGCTAATATTAATTCATTACTGAATCTCATCTGATCTCACCATTTTGTATCACCTTGCCTCTTTAGGGAGGGTGCCACAAGTCAAGGCCTTCCATTACCGAATCTCATCTGATTTTCACCATTTTGTATCATTGTGCCTCTGTAGGGAGGGTGCCATCGATGCTTTAAAGGTCATAACGGCCCTGTTTTAACCCTGTCAGATAGACTGCTAGGTCATGGCACTGGAAAAATATTTGCTAGTGGAGGTGAAGATGGCACTGTTCGCCTCTGGTCCATCAATTCCAGTGGAAAGCGTGGCCAGCATGCTTTAAAGGCAACGCTTTATGGACATGAAAAGGCTGTATCATTGATGTCAGTTGCCGGGTAAGCATTTGTTGCTTTATTAATTTACCTTTTTTCTTGTTCTGGTTTTCCTTTTCATTCTCAAACTATGAGAGGTGGATTAAGTGGTGCACAGTTGATTATATTAAACAACATCGAACTCATTTTTTTTTTATTTTCTGGTGAATTTTGAATCTGTCTATATACTTTTGAATGCTTTTGCTGGACTAAATCTTCAATAGCACGAAGGAAAATCTTGAAATGATTTCTACATTTATGGACTTTAAGAATAGTTTGATCATTAAAAGGCTTATCCTTCTTCCAGGTACAAAACGTCTCTTCTGGTGAGCATGTCAAAGAATTCCAAGGTATTATTTCTTTTCTAAATCAAGTTCTCAGCATTTTAATTCTCATATAGTGCATGTTTTTTCGAACTCATTTCATTTGACTTGTTTGTGCCAATAATGGTGCTCATTGTTCAATTTTTTTTTCTAATGTTGGCGAGCTGCATCTTCCCCCCAAACTGCAGACATCTTCACCAATTTTTTGTCGAGGTAGTCCTTTGGTGAATATGTCCACTGTTTGTTCTTGTGTAGGAACATATGTCATGCAAATAGTTCATTCTTCTACTTTTTCTTTGATGAAATGACTGTCCACCTGTACATACTTAGTTTGATCATATTGAACATGTTTTTCGTGACTGTTTGTGCCCATACAAAGACTTCTTGAGTTTACGTACCTGATTCCTTTCACTTTGCCAAAACCTGGAGTTAATGTCATGAAGACTTCTTGCAATTTCTCGTTCAAAAATGCATTCTTAACGTTCAGTTGTTGAAGACGCTGATCTGAATTTGCTACTAATGGCAAAAGAATTCGAATTGTATTCAACTTTGCTACATGTGCAAATATCTCTGTATAGTCAATGTCATATGTTTGTGTATATCCTTTTGCAACTAATCGAGCTTTATACTGTTTTATTGTCCCGTCAACTTTATATTTTAAGTTGAAAACTCATTGGCACCCAACATGTTTCTTTCCTCTGCGTAGATCCATCACATCTCAAGTTTCATTTTTTTCTAACGCTCGCATCTCCTCCATTACTGCTTCTCTCTATTTTGGAATCTCAATGCTTTCTGAATAAGTCAATATTCTTTGAAATTTAGATACTATCAAGGTTAAATTTAAAACCACGAAACCCTGTTGAGAGAGGATTATAATACATAAATTTGAGATAGAGTGAAGATTACATGATTTGAGTTTGTTTTCTGATAGCGATGTGTAGGTTTATATTTGACACATCGGAGTTTATGGGTCTATCATAGGTTTCGACTCTCTTGGTGCTTCAGGTATGAGATTATCTTTGTACTTTGCTTTTGGTCTCCTTGAATAAATGAGCATTTTATTGTTTCTTTGTTTTCTTCTCCCCCTAGATTCAAGTTTCCTCGTGTAAATGGCATAGAAGAACTAGGCGATGTCGTAGATTCAACATTCGAAGTAGGATCAGAGGAGAAAGATCAAAGTTCAAGTACCAATCTTCACTCAAATTCTCTCATTGAAGAGAGGTTTTTTTTTTTGGAAATAGGGAGTGTTTTCAAAGAATGTAACATTGAGGATCACAATGATCCTCTTCATGGAAGGATCATAACACTTGTATCCCTTTTTGGGTAGGAGAGCATCCAATAAGAACACATTTAATTGCTCGAGGGTCTAGCTTATTTTTGTGATAGGAATGAACATGAAATGTGGTACCGCCAAACTCTAAGGGATAGACTCGAGCTAAGTCGAAAGTTAGGACAAAATTTCTAATATTTTTGGAGGGGTAAGTCGTAGTTTAGAGTACAACTAAGCATTATGTTGATTAGGTAAATAGATGTTAAAATTGCATCTCACCACAACATTTTAGGCATGTTTGTAGTAAATGTCAATGCTCGAGCTACCTCTAAAAGGTGTATTTTTGCGTTCGACGCATGAGCTTTGATGAATTATCCTATGTATTTAAAAAGAATCCCCCAAAATTTTGTTGAAATATTATGTGCCATTATTAGTGTGTAGAATTTAAATACGTGTTTGAATCATAGAATGAAAGTTAACAAACACATACTGGACATCGGATTTCTCTTTTAGCTGATAAACCCTACATATTTGAGTATGGTCATCAATAAATATGAACCATTTAGTTTCAGTACGGTTAAGAATTCATGAAAGGTCGTTTACATCACTGTGGATCATAGTGAATGCTTTTGATGGTTTGTATGTTGATTTTGGGAATAATGTACGTTAATGTTTTGCAAGTTCACAAAATTTACATTGAAAATTGACGGGCTTTTTATTCAAGAAAATGGTACGAAATACGTCTCAAACTAGTTGCAATTTTACGCTTACTCACATCTTCAACTTAGGAGAGTCTCTCATACTCCTTAGCACTACCAATCATCTTCTCCGATGATAGATCCTAAAAACACAATATGAGCGAAGAAATTTACCGAAGCAATTCGAGTTTTTTGTTAACTGGCTTATAGATAGTAAATTGCAGTATAAATTTTGAACATGAAGGACGAATTCTAGACATATAATCGGAGATTTGAATACTCTCTTTTCCTACAATAGATGAGAGTGAACCATCTACAATTTTAACTTTAATATTATTCGCATAGGTTGAGTACAAGGAAAATAGGTGATAAGAGTTCATCATGTGATCAGATGCACCTCAGTTAATAATCCAAGGTTTTAGGATGTGTTGTAGGATTTAAGGCCTTTAAAAAATTACCTCTGTAGGCTAGCGAATTTGAAGGCCCATTTGTGGACGATTGACTAGGTGTTTGAAAACTAGAAAAGGTTTTGTAGAGTTGCTCTATCTGTACGTACATAAATTGAATGCTTTGCTTGAAGTGGGATTATGGTTCTTTGTTTGATAGTCAACAGAAGCTTGTTAGTCTCGATTTTTATTGTTTTGCCTTAGTTTTTAATCAACTGGTTTTCCATATATACAACAGGTGTCTTATTTGTGTCATGGCTTACGGCAATGATCGTAATAGGGTCTTCCTGTTTGTTGTCTTGGGCATGACCTATTCATCGTCCCTCTTGAATGTAGGCCTATAATTCCAGGCCCAATATCTGGAACACCAGCATATCCACCTTTTCAAAATAGGTCTATATTTCCCGGTCTAATTTCAAAGAGACCACTAAGTCCATTAGCCTTTTTTCAGCCCAATGTTAGGTCCAACATATTTTGATATTAACGCTAATACTTCGGCTTCAATAGGCCAAATTTCTCTACTGTTCAACATTACCTTCGATTTATTTTTTCAGCGCGTACCTCCGAAAATACCTCTCGCGTTGAAGGTAGCACTCGCCAGCCAAGGATTCTCTTCTGACGTCATCTAGGTCATGGTGGAGTCCTACCAAGAACTCGTACGCTCCTTCGTTCTCCATTTTTTCTTGTAGTGGGTGTAGTCTCACGAACATTCCTATTCTTCCTCTGAACTTAAATCAAGCTCCTGTCACAGCTCCATCTTCTCCATGTAGTAGTCGGTGACTTCCCTTTCACCTTATTGTCTTCCATAATTTTAAATTTGGGAGGGATTTTTAGAATCAAAATGTCTCTGGAACTGCATCCCAAACATTTTTTTGTCATCATTAGGAATAGATGCCTTTTCGATGGAAGGCTTCATGAAGTCCACAGCCTACATAATCACCATAGAGTTTCGACCTCCATTTTTGCAAAAGGACAACATCGGTTGAGGCAGGCCCTTTTGTGTAGCATGTAAGGTACCCCAATTTTCCTTGTCTATCAACCATTAACTTGATTGATGGGGCCCATTCTCGAACGTTTTTTTCGTTCAATTTTTCCAACGTGAGTTGGAAGGATGAATTTTCGTTTCCTTCATAACTTAATGGTGGAGATGACTTATGTTTTATCGTTTTGAGATTCAGAGGTAATCGACCCCTGACTGGTGGCAGGAGTTTCCATCTTTGGACTAGATTGAGAAAGAATCTTGCTGTGATACCATGAAATTATAATGCTTTATTTTTGTATTTCTTGATATATTGCAGCTTAGGGCCTGTTTGATTAGGATTATTTTCCATGGAAATCAATTTCCATCTTCCACATTTTTACTTGTTTGATGCAACAAATTTTCTAGGGAATCATTTTTCNAAAAAAAAAATTTCACTTTAATGAACAATTTTCATGTAAAACAAAATCAAACGAACACTAAACTTTGATAAAAAAATGATTTTTCAGGAAATAATTTTTTTTTACTTTTTAGCAATGGAAACAAATTTTATAACCAATTGTGGAAAAATTATCATTTTAATGGACAATTTCTATATAAATTAAAGCCAAACGAACACAAAATTTAAAAATTTTCTGGGGTAGAAAATTATACCAATCAAACACACTTAATTAACAATTCCTTAGAAAACAATTTCTAGGCAATTACTTTCCCTGGAATTCATTTTCTTTCCACCCATTTTCCACCCTTGCAATCAAACGGACCCTTAATGATCTTTTTTTATAGTACAAGAAAGGGAATAAAAAGGGGAAAGATAAATCTATCAAAATTTGCTAATCAATCTATCTAAATATACAATGCTAACTAAGGTAGGAATCTCATCAATGATTTTGCCAATCAGTACCGGATTTCAACACTTGTCCCTTTAATTTTAGGGTCCGTTTGATTCTCATTATTATAGAATGAGAATGAAAAATATAGTCGTTATTGGGCCCCATACAAGAGATAGAAATTCAAAATTGATGGCTTGATGTGATGAATAACGGTCATATTTTTCATTTTTATGGATGAAAAATGAGAAACAAATAGGGGCTTAGTTGTTTAGTGAATTGTGCATTCTTTTATTTTATTTACGTGTCACTTGAACTTTTGATTTTTATTTTTATTTTTGCCAACATGTTTAAATATTGAAGACATCATTGTAATTGGTGATTAATTGATGAAAATTATGGATTTGTTCCAATATTTTTCAATCCATTGTTAGTATTCCTTGAATTAACATTTTTTTGTTAAATTAATTACTTGGTATTCATGTAGAATCAACGAAATCGTGTTTTAAATAAATTCTCGATATTTGGTGGAATCAACGAGTATTTGATTGGTTGATTCTTGGCATTCTTAGACATCAACAGGCTTTGATCTTGTTCTTCGTTTTGTTTTACGCTTCCGCCTACATCAATACGTATGTCCTAAATTCTTGAAATCCATTGGCTGGCTGTGATATAAAGATGTAGATGTGTGTCGATTCGTGTAAGGATACGATGGCCCGTCTATTTTCGATGAGGAGTTAAAAGAATTTTTAGATTGTAGATGAAGAGTCAATTATCGAGGTTCCGGAGGATGAATATTTTGTTCTTTTTGGATTTTGAGAAGAATATCGGGCATAACAACTTTGATGCCAATATGTCGTGCTGTATAACTAAGGTGATTGGAATACACAATGAGGCCGAATCAACAGGAATGACAATTTGGTTCCTAATCAAATATATTCTCAAGAACCCCTTACGGACCTTTGGAGAAGACTCCTTGGCTGGGAAGCATGGACATGTCGCCAACTCCAGCGTATCGATGTCGGACTTGTGTCGAACACCGACATATCTTCGACATGTCGCTTGTACATCTTCCGACATGTCGGTGGCGTGTACCTTTATTTTTTTGAATTTTCGACGATTGAAAAAGATTAAAAAAAAATAAAAAAATGAAAGGAACACCGACATGTCTTCGACACGTTGCTTGTACATGTTCCAACATGTCGGTGGCGTGTACCTTTATTTTTTTGAATTTTCGACGATTGAAAAAGGTAAAAAAAATAATAAAAAAATGAAAGGAAAAACTAACACTACCATGACAATTTAGCTAGGTTTTGGTGTCTACGGCCCCAAAGCTTCATGGGCTCTGGAAAATTTCCGTGTGGATTGCGGTATCTTGATGGCGCCACATGGGTTGCTAAAATCTTCTGGTTGTGGAAGACACAGAATTTTCAATTCTATGGTCTTAATGATTGGGTCAAATTGTTTGAAATGGGGCTTGCCACTTTTTAAGTGGGTCAAAGATTTTTAAGGTTGGTTTAAAAAAACTCTTCTTGCTTAAATCCGTTGATATATAGAAAGCTTTAGGCTCTATTTCAAGAGAGAACTCTCCTTATTCAAATCCTATGATTTTTTAAAAAAATAAATAAATATTTTGAAAAAAAATTATTTTAATCAACGTGTCGGTAACGTATCATGTTGATACTTTTTTGAAAAATCGTGTGTTGGACAAGTGTCGTGTCAGACACTCATGTCCGTATCGTTGATTCTTAGCTCCTTGGTTACTGTAGAATCTCGTTCCACCTTTCCGTAATTCTCCATTCTACCATTTTTGGCAGTTACATGGTTTTGAAGAATAAAAAACTACACGAGCGGTTTGATGTTGAGGCTTCAAGCTGTTATCAAAGTGGTTATGCTTCTAGGAAATCTCTATTTCATGGGGTTTCTGTTTTTGTGGATGGATATACTGTCTTGTCTAGTCAGGAGCTTCAAGGTTAAATATTAGTATGGAGGAAGATCCATGAATTATTTTTCAAGGCATCGTGCGACTCATATAATCTGCAATAATCTTCCTGACAGTAAAATCGAGAATTTGAGGTCATTCATTGGTGTCATTCATTGGTGGCCTTCCTGTAGTTAAATCTTCCTGGGTGCAAGATTCTGTTGCTGCTAATAAATTTTTGAGTTGGATCCCTTATCTGCTCAATCAGCTTGCAAGAGAAATTCATTCTTTCCCTTTTTTTGTTGACTGGGGGCTTTGGTATGTATTACCAATGAAAGCTATCTGCTTTCTTTGCTCTTAAAAAACAGTCAAGATTCTGATGATGCAACGACAAGTGTTGCTAGTATTATCTGAGATTGTGAATTCACCATTGAAGAGTGGGGCTTTGATGGTTGCGAATTATCCTAAACAATGTGAATCTGTAGAACAATTGAAACGTTAATGGCTAGTTTGAAGTTTCTATTCGTTGCTCCAACATTTGTGAGAAACAAAAATTTGAAAAATTGCTTGAAGATGTCCCTTGTGTTCCCGAAGTCTCTGCGTTTCCTACTGTTGTCACTGCAAATCTTTCAAAATAATTATTGCCCATACAAAGCATCGGGGGGAGGTCCAACATAACATTTGAGGATGAATCTCTTCTTGCCTAGGGAGGATGATGCAGCCATAGGTCACGAGACATCGGTACAAAAATCGATGGCTCACGGGTTTCAACGTTATTTATGTCCCTTTAACTTGGGTTTAGTGAACTGTGTAATCTTTTGTTTTGTTGACTTGTCCCGAACTTCTGAACTTTTTGCAACATGTTTACATATTAAAGACGCCATTGTAATCAGTAGTTATTTGAATGAAAATTACAGAACTTTGATTTTTCTTTTCGATCAAATATGAGTATTCTCGGAATCAATAGTTTTTGTTGATTAAATCAATTACTCAGTATTCATGTAGAATCAACGAGATCGTGATTTTAAATTATTTCTTAGTATTTAGTGGAATCAACAAGTAAATATGGGTTGATCGGAATTCATAGGAATCAGCAGGCTTCTATCTTGTTCTTTGTTCTGTTTCACTTCAGCATATGTCAAATATTTACTCCATATTTTTCAAGTGATTACTGAAGCTCTTCATCTTACTACTGAATAGGTTAGGGTTTGGGACACCACTGCAGCATCATCTTCTAGTCGTTCTTCATGCTGTGTGGGAATGACTTCTATTCCCGGAAATCCTGTGGGTATGAAATGCCACGAGTCACTGCTGTATATTGCTACTGGTTCCTCTGTCATTGCAATTGATTTAAGAACTATGCGTAGAGTTTCAACAGTGATGCAGCAAGTAAAACTACATTCATTTCAAGTCATGCCTTCAAAATCCTTAATTTGCACAGGTGGAACTGGAAGGTAATAAGTAATTAATGTTGCAAAATGTTAGTCATTTTTAAATTCAATTAAATTCATTATGCTTTATTCAATAAGTGGGGAAAGCTTTCTGTTTCTATAATTCTATTGAATTCATTTCATTTGGTTAAGTAGTAGTGCAGGACTACAGGGGTAGTCGGCTTGTGTCAGAATTCATACCCAATAAATTACCTCATTTCTCTGGGGAAAGCAGCTCTATAGACTGGTTTTTCCCCCTTTGGATTGATATGTTCAGAAATACAAGAATCAATGACTTAAAAACTGCTCAAGATGTTGGTTTTAACTTGAATGACTTGAAACTCTCTAGATGTTGGTTTTAACTTGTACTTTCAAGAATGAGTTCATGACTGAAAATGATCTGTAAAATTGTTGGCATGCAGAGCAATGTTGTGGGATATTAGAAAAAGTTCCAACACACCGAAAGTAGAACCTGTCATCGAGTTGGATGGACATGTGGGCCCAATAAAGCTCTTACATATGGACCGATACAAAGTTGTTGCCGGTGGACTAGACGACTCCTGTGTAAATGTTTGGGATGCCGATACTGGTAACCATACAAATTCCTTGATATGTTCTCAGGATGGATCTCTGGGGTGTTCAGCAATGGTTGTAGACGGATGTCGACTTGTTACTGCGAGTGGAGATGAAGAACAGTGTCTCTTGCGCTTCAGGGACTTCAATACTGCTACTAGTCCTATCTTGTCTAATGCGTCAGAGACAAGTTCACCAGTTTCTAAATTCTGGGTTCCCCAATCATATAGTGATTCTGAATCATCTGATTACTAGTTTTTTTTTTTTTTTTTTGAAACTAGCTGCTTTTGAACATCAAGCAGTCTCATTTGTTCTTTGTTTTTTGTCCTCTTAATGTATTGACTTATCTTCTTTTTTTTTTTTAATGCAAGAAAATAAATGAAAACATGTATTCTTTAAGATTGATTGTAAATTACTAGTGATATGTACTGTGGTATGTAGAATTAGACAATATTGGACACTACAGTAGATAAATTTTTTATTTCTTTCTTTCTACGGTAATCTTGTCCAGTACTATACACTTCATCTAACCATTCAAGCCTCACATGCAGAGAGAGAGAGAGAGAAGACGAAGAGTACTAATGGCCGAATGAGAGTAGAGGAACAAGTGAGTAACAGCCGTAACTATAAAGGTCCTAAGTTAATTTCTTATCGAGTATGTCTGGACTCCAAGGAACATAACATTCAGCAATGAGTGGAAATGTGTCTGCCCTATCCTCGAATTATTGTCGAGAAATGATCAAATTAATACAGAAAGAAAATGAGGAAAATTCTTCAAATGAAAATTACCTTAGAAAATGTGTTTGTACAGGATCTTACCATAGAAACTATTTTTATAGACATGCTATTAAACTGAACAAACTATTTCACAAGGGCCCTAAACTGACAAACTTCTAGACACTACATCTACTCTGTACAGTAGGAGAAAAAAAAATTATGTTATCACTTGTCAACTTGAGGAAACCTCAAGAATATACTGTACACGATGGTGGAGAGAATTAGACAGTATAATGAAATGTCTGAAGTTACGATAACTTGTATCGATTAACAGGTTGAGGCCATGTTGAACATGTTGCTCCCATTCATGCTTGCAAAATCATAATTGAAATTGAAACTAAGTTCTCTTTGCAAATCAATGCTATAATCATCTAAAGACAGCACATCTGGAAAATCTTGAGTTCCATCACAGAATTTCTCTCCATACTCATCATCACTACCAGCCCGTGGCACGTTCTTCGCAGTTTCTCTGTCTCCATTTTCGTCTTCCATGAAATTTGAGTTCTTTTGAACCAGTTCTCTAAACATGGAAGAACGGAGAAGAAGATCAACTGCTGTTGGAGAAGAAGATTTTCTGCATGAATTAACCTGAATTTTTTGTTCGAATATTTCTTGCTTAATTAGGTTATCTGCACCGTAATCTCTTGTTTGTAGCATGGAGGCTCGCAATTTATTGTGAGTAATAGGATTTGGCCTTTGTTCTTGAGCAGGAATTGAGATGTTGGATTCTGGTTTCAACCATCTAATGTAAGAACTCAAATCAAAGTTTGTGATAGCATTGATTCCTCTATATTCAATTGCTGCAATATCATATGCACGAGCTGCCTCTTCTTGGGTGCCTGCAAGTGAATATAGATGAGAAAATTAGATGTATGTATGTGCTAACTACTGCATTGCTTTACAAGATGCTAGTGGGGTCAAACTAGGCCGGCTCTATGTCAACATTGGTGAAAAAGTATATTATATTTGGACGCTTGAGAGAACCATGTTGAATGAAACCAGCCTGGAAAAAACCAAGCACTGACCAAGCAGCCCCCTTTAGAAGGATGGCCGTGCTTGTCCCAGCTCACTACGAAACCTGGACCGGCCAAAGCCTGTCCTCGTGCCACACTGGGCCTTTCTTGAACCAGTTCAGCTATTTTGGCACTATGACTAGATACCAATCATGTAAAAATCATCACTTTCCCCTAGTTTGGTGTGAACTGAAACTCCCACGAAAAACTAAGGAAATTCAAGCAATTGGTTTGGTGGGACTTACTGTAAGTGCCAAGATAGAGATACTGATTTCCAAAAGCTCTCCCAATCCTTGCTTCCCATCTTCCATTGTGATGGTGTCTGCATGCATGTCCAGTAACAAATTATTCAGAATAATTTTCTTTAATCAATTTGTAGAAATTATTTTCTGAAAACATACCTTGCAACTCCTCTGTACTTTGATGCACCTCTTGAGAATCCACTGCTCTTTCTGCAGGCCGGAAAAGAAACTTTAGATATTTTTTCATTGTTCAAACAAGAGAAATTTTATCCATTAATTACATTATTTAAGAGTGAAATACCCTACCTTCTTAATGAGGCTAGGTACTCTTCTTTTGTGACAGTTTGCATGAATTCTATTTCTTCCTCGTAATCAGGTATCTGCAGAAAATTTCGAGACAATTTGGTCAGTTTGTATTATAGGTTGTCATCTGATACAGATGTTTCTTGTTCATTGGTGTACGACTTAATCATACAGAACTCTTATCCACTTCACCGCAATTCCTTTTGTATTTTGAGTTCAAGGGTGTAGTTGGTCAGTACACTTACCCAGTCGCTCTAACATTCTTAGCCTCTGTTTGGTTCAAATTTTCAGAACTCATTTTTGCTCAAACTCATCTTCAACCACACATTCTCCAAAAACTATCACTTTTAAGATTTATTGAGAGATGCAGAAAGCTTGTGTTCTTCTCTAGTATAGTAAAAACAGTAGGGACAAGTAGGTGTATCTCTCACTATAAAGGTGAACCACTTGTCTGTGTATTTAGTCATCTTTTGAAAGTTTTTCTGTTTATTAATGTTCTCGACTGAAGAAATTAGGCTTAATCTATAACATATCTTCACGAATATCATACCGGAAAGTTAGTAAAAGTTGATGTTCCCCAATACTTCAATGCAGCTAAATCATATGCTCTTGCAGCAGCTTTCTCATCATCATAAGCTCCTGAGGAATTTTGTCAAATGAAGGCCTCAGTTTGTCTCACAGAGAGTCGAAACTAAACAGACTTTAATGCAGTACTTGACAGTATAGTACACAAGATTTAACTTCTTTTGGGAAAATTAGTACTCACCAAGATAAACTGTCCATTGCCAAATTCCATTTCATAGTGCAATCCACGAAACAAAACACAAGATCCCACATCAGCACTAACATTTTATCCAACAATATCTGAAAACAAATTCTTGTAAATTAAGGTCAATTACCTTGTTTCCCCTTCTTCTTACGAGTAACGTTCCACGAGAGTTTATCCCACAAATGTGCTTCGTATCGACCAGTCCATCGATGCCTGCTAACACCTCGAAATCTAGAACTTCTTTTCACAGTTGTTGGAGCGGTTGTTGGATCAACTTCATTTTCTACATCTCTTTTTCTACGCTTAATGCGACGCCTCACTTCAGGCACCTCGCCATCCTCCATGCACACGAGACGCCTCCCAAGATTCTCTTCACTCATCAACATTGCCATTGCCGTTGCCATTGCCATGTAGAAGAATGTATGTTGGCAGATGCTGTATTTACTTCTCTAAGAAGGGATTCCCATGCGCATATGTTTATATATAGCCTTTGTTTGGACTCAAATTTTTCGTTGTTACGAATTCTTTTATGCGGACAAATACGACGATAATTACAATTATTCGAGGCAAGCTCAAGACATATAAGTTATTGTACTTTCCCAACCATTGGAACCAAAATTTGGACTATACTGTAATAATTTGTTGTTGAATTGTTAATTTCATGGAGAATCTTTGGATTCCTTTGGCCTTTTATGGTACAAGCATAGAATATCACGAAGCTAGTGAATACTTCAATGTTCATAATCAGAAGTAAATCCAGGCTGGGCTATATACTGGACCAACCCGTTTGAGAGGTCGAGGTACTGTGCAAAGTTTTCAAGGCCCGTGGGCCGAGTGAGAAATCCGGTTTCATAGGGCCTGTATGAAGCCACTCTAAAAACGAGTCGACTCAATTGACTCAATTCCTTTTATGCCTTTATATCAATGTGTTATGATATGACAAAACCTTAATTGAATCCTTCGAAAACCTATTATGGCGAAATTTCTTTTCATTTCTACTTATAAAAAAAAAAACGATATCTAAAAGCGTGTTTAACTTTGCTACTTACACAAAAGAAGCTAGTTTATTTTGGCAATGTCATTCTGAAACTGTCCAAAAGATTGAAAAGGAGCTTCTTCTGACTTTTAAGCAAGTTTGACAAAAAAAAGTTGATATCTTATACGCTGAGAACCCACAACTATGAGTCCCATAGTTTAAATTCCCAACTTATCTAAGTTAGAAGTGCTTATGGATTTTGATTTACACAATTTGTGAATTCCCAACTTATAGAATAACAACCTTTTTTTTTTTTTTTTTTTTTTTTTTTTTTTTTTT